GTATTTATTACGGATACATTAGGATAGTAATAAACTGTCATTTAAGCGATCACACATAACTGAAGAAAATCGGGGGAAGGTGGAGCTGAAGGCTACCACCGACAAAGGGAACACTCTGCGGGGCCCTCGCAGGAAGGGCAGTTGTTACGCACAACTGCCTACAGGGGAGGGTGGGGCTGGAGACCGCCACCGGTGAGGGGACAACCAATACATCTCCTTCCCTGCGAGGGCATACCACCTACAACATCCTTTACTAGACTTGAAGTAACCACGCCGACGTAGTAAATCAAGGATCAATCCCCTTTCCCTTGCTGGATCCTACATCAATCACCACCCGTTGATGATTTTTCTAATAAATTCTGCTATGCCATATGTATATACTTATAACATGAACTAATGCTTCTACGACAATTTCGTATTTTTTCTGGTTATTAAACTCACCAATGCTCCAACTCATTTTTAGGCGTGTTAAATTCGTGTCCACCGTTGCGCCTTCTGTGCTTCCAACGCTCCCATCGGAAATTCTTCAAATCGCAGAGGATATGGACCTTCAGCGACGACTTGAGATATTTGAGCTCGTGAAAGAGGCGGAGGAGAAGAACGGAGACAATGAGAGGGTATGCTTTGCCTTCTCTGGGCCCCTCAACTTTGCCGTTTACCTAAATATTCTTTTAAAGATGGCAGTTTTACTCTTACGGTATGATTTAAATGTCAATGCCACTAAAACCTGATGGCTGTACTGAGCGGAAGTACATGACCCGTAGGTACATCGCATCCCATCGGGGGCTGGAAGGAAGCGAGATTCTTTGTTTCAGGTTATATAAATGCGACCATTTTAGTTCCAGAAGTAAATAGAAACGAAAAACAAACCAACGTGTGACAAGAAAAGTGTATATGCGCATTTATTTCAATCTTTCATTTCGGGTATTTATTCAACCAGAAATGCACGTACATCAATCCATCAAGTATGGCTAGCTGATGACAGTTCATAAATCAAATAACAGTCCTAGCCGTTCTTGCCTTTGTTGGTAGTCCTTCCCTGTATAAATATGTGCTATAAGCAGGAGTAGATTACGGAAAAAGACAAGGGAGGCTGGACTGGTCATTTATATCTATAGTATATGCTAGCCGTTGAGCGACTGCTGGCGAGACTTAGGAGCTAGCTAGAGGGCACAGCGGGACGAGAGGGTTCCTTAAGCAATCGGTGAGCGCCTATTTAACATTATATATATATATATATATTGCTATCATCATCCCCGGAAGTAGAAGGACATCGTGGGGTAATTTCTGAGACCAAACGCTCCGCACAAGGCTAACATCTGCTCAGAACAGAGCAATAGGTCAGGCGAAGGAAGCTACGCAAGGCCGAAAGCCGGCAGCCGCGAGCGAAGAAGGTAGAAACGCTCGGGAGGCACACGAACGACATAATACACCTCATGGAGACGCCCGGGGGGGCGAGCACAATTCAAACAGCCGCCAGCAATCTATCGGTACAGTCGATCAACGCGCGTGCATCAGGCACGGCTATAACACACGGCTAGCGGTTAGACACACTCACTCGACGCCAGCAGGAGAATAGACACTACGCTCTGACGATGGAAGCGAGAATGCTTTTGAAACGTTCGCATAAATACAACTTGGTCTCAGGGATTGCCTCATCTTCTTCCTCTTCCGGGGATGATGAAAGCAATATTTTACATAGACCTCGAATATTTGCGCATATATGTGTGGGATACGATGTGGTCCAGCCAGATAATAGACGATAGAATGTATCCCAACATGTATAAGTTAGTTGAATAGGATAAGGCGTGGAAGGCCATAGTGTCAGGGAGAA